GATACATCTCTCTCCGGGAGTCAGAAAAAAATAAATTTTCCCTCTTCAAAACTAACAAAATAAAAAAAATAATTAGAGTTAGCTTTAAAAGTGCAGGGAGAGTATATTTTACTGTCCCTGCACTTCTCCTGCTTAGAACTGGTATGGGACACTACAGGGAAAAAATGTGACGTGCCATTACTTGTTAATGTCTCCCCAAATGTGCCAGGCAAACATGCAAAAATATGTGGTCAAAAAATACTTGAAGCTTGCAGCTCAAACTAGTAACATGAGCTTTTTTGACAAGTTTGTTGCACATAGGGCAGCCTGTTGAAATAAATGGGCTGATACACAGCAAACCTGGACAATTTGCTGCATTTGTGAATGGGGCCTTAAAGTGATATTTAAATCATTTTTTTTAAAGCTTTTTCAATTTTTTTAAATAAATAACTCCCAGATTGTTCCTGAGTAAATGCCCAAGAGGGTCTCCAAGTAGGTATAAGGGCTCATCACTCCCACAAAAACGTTAGAGAAAATGAACCAGAGAAGATAGTGGGGGGTTTTTGAGTCCCCCTTTGTTGGAAATATTACCAGACAAACATATAAATAAAATGACAACATTTTATTATTACATCTCATTAAAACTGATGACATTTAAAAACAAATAGAACCAGAGCCCAATAACTTTGTGACTGGCCCACTGGTCCCACATCAATCAGCACCTCCACAGAGGTTAAGAGATAGATAAAGTCCAAACCCATGAAGGGCATATGGCTACATGTCTACGATTTTAATAAGATGTATTAATAAAATGTTGTAATTGTTTTTTACATGTTCTTGCGGTAATATTTCCAACAAAGGGTGACTAAAAAAAAAAAACAACAACTGTCTTCTCTGGTTAATTTTTTCTAAAGCTTTTTCAAATGATTACATTATGGATGCTGCTCCTTTATGTTCAAAGGTTTTACAGGGTTATTCACAAAAGGGTGAAGATTTTGGAGAAGGCAGGAGAAGTGAGCAATCTAGGGCAACATAGCTGAACTGGACAAATTCTCCAGTTCAGCTCACTTTCCAGTTCAGCTATGTTGTCCTTGATTGTTCACTTCTCCTGCCTTCTTTAAACCCTTCACCCTTTTGTGAATAACCCTTTTAGTTTCCTGCAGAAGCAGCTGGTCCCCTGATCACTGGCCCTGAAATTCTGTTGTAGGGTTGCTCCTTTCCCTTGGAGCACCCTAAGCAGCCACCCTTGTGTGTGCTAGTAAGCTGTGTGTAGATTGACAGCTGTTGGAGGCAGCTTACCCTTGTGATCTTGTTCTGGACAGGAGGTTCAGGGGAACCGAGATGAAAGAGTTGGATCCAACTCTTTGAAAACACCATGACAGTGTTTGGGCAAAAATTGCCAGGCAATGTATATTTGTTTGATCTGGATTCAATATTGAATAAAAGATTGAGAGTTTAATACTACTTTAAGAACATTATTACATTACTACTAAACCAGTTGTTGGTTTAGAAGGAACATCAAGTCCATACAGTTGTGCTATGCCAGGTATGTGAGACCCAGAATGCTCTGAGCTCACCAAGCTCCTGACTCAGCTGGCATATTGTGTGATGCTGCATAGGGGCTCCATGAACAGTGGCCTTTTTCGTTTGTTGATCCACTTTAGGAGCACACTCAGCTTTTTCCAATCAAGCTGTTTATTCCCTCAGAGCAAAGCCATTGTCTGTAGCTTGGCTTCTAATGAAATACGTGGCTAGGAAATTGATGCTTTTTGGAAAAGGCGTATTAGGAACACATGGATGGATAGACAATATATTGACAGTTTAAATTCACAGCTCATCTGGGTACTTAGCTGTATTCTGGCTGAGCAGCACTAAGATTTGCTTCCTCTTTGTTCTCTATTATTTTATACAGTTACATTGAGCCTGAAAGTAAAATGAAAACCAAGCTAAGTAGAATGAAACAGAAGCACAATTTGCAAAAGCTGCTTGTTTGTTTAACAGAATGCACATTGCATATTTCAAAGTGTAACTGTACCTCAAGTTTTTTATGTAGGATACGTGCACTAGTTTTAACCCATTTAATTGCTTTTATTATTTTGACTTGTTCTTCCTTTTCACTCCCCATTTTCCCTTTTGCTAGTAAAAAAAGTCTCACTGAGATTCTAACAATTTTGTCGGTATATTATAGACATTGCTTTTCTATGGTCTGTAAAACATGTGACCATACTTACACTTACCAATTATCTCACTATCCAGCCCTCCCCTCATGCCAAGGTCCTAGGTGTCATCCTTGAAAGTTAGGTCAAGGCAAGCTATTCTCTTGTTTACCTCCATCCAAAAGTGGGAGGATGGCCCACACAATGTTTTGCCCACTAGGCTCCACAGACCTTAATCTGGCCCTATACACATAACCAGCATCTGCTCATGTATTGCCACCTTTAGACACAATTTCAAAGATATACAAAACTGAGAAGAGGCTTTCATGTGCGTAATGTGGGGATGGAGATGCCATTCTCCTTACTTTTATGTGCCACATTTTGCTGAACCACTGAACCAATCCTGGTTTTAGATAAACTTTATTTGAAGATCTGAGTAATAGGCAAATGCTGTGAAAAACTACACTCATTTTTATAGAAATCTCTCAGGCTTCTTGTGGCAAGCTATGGCCTTTCCTGAAAAAATATTGGTTATTGATTTATACCTTTTGGATTTGGGGATAAATAAAAGTGAAAAAAAAAGGAAAAGGAAAGAAAGGGAGATCCAAGGTCGTCCAAAAGACTCAAAGAACTCAATAATATGCTGTACAACAACTACAAAAAGAAACATGAATTATTATTATTATTAATATTATACAAGATTTATATAGCGCCAACAGTTTGCACAGCGCTTTACAATATAAGGGAGACATTACAATCACAATTCAATTCAAGACAAGATGGTAAGGAGGGCTCTGCCCCTGAGGGCTGAGAAATACAAGTCACTTTGCTTATTCCCTTAAAAATATATTTTTATAAATAAAGCAACACAAATTGGTAATTTATGTGACAAGGAACCAGACAACATAAAGGAAATAAAACCCCCCATTCAACAGGCTCGTAGGATATATACCTCTGGCTATATTTATTGTCCCTGGTAGGGGATTATGAGTACTCAGACGTCCTCACCAGTTCAGTCATTGACTCCATAAGATACCCAGGTGTGAAAACACTAATTTATGCTGACTTCATCACCATCTTGGATGTACAATTACCAACAAGGTTGGCAAAAGTCTTAAAGAAGAACTCCAGGGAGAATTTTATTACCCTTGTAGTGGGGCTAACCCCGCACTGCAAGAGTTAACTGCTTGCTTGTGTCTAGGTGCTAAGAAAAAAAAGCTGTACTCACCTGAACTGCAGAGCTGGCTCCCTGCTTCTCAGGTCAGTGAAGAGTGTCTCCTCCTCTTCTGCACAGATGGACCTTTCCTCAGCATCCTCACGTCTGTACACTTGTATACAGCGTGATGACACAAGGAGGAGACAGGCTCTAGAGACCCATCTAAGAACAAGCCGGCTCGAATGATCGGGTGAGTATAACTTTTTTTTTTACCGCCTAGAAACAAAAGAGCCATTAACCTCTGCAATGTGGGGCTAGCCCAACTGCAAGGGTTCATATCATTTTCCCCAGAGTTCTTCTTTAAGTGGGACTTCTGAGAAGGATACATCTCCCATAACCTGCCATTCTCACCTAAACTGCAATTTGTTGCTGAAGCAATATGGTTAAACCCTTTTTATGTATGCTGCAAGTGAAGTTTAATGACACCTTGAGGAAATCCCTTATTGAGACAAAATGTGAGAGCGTGTTTGTGTATCCATTTAATGTATAACATGTTTTGTAGATATTTTCTTCCTTGTTCGTTATGATCAAGACCCAAAAAAATGAATTGCTTCCATTGATGTTTATTAAATATAAATATGAAGATCAAGATCATGGAGACATGACCTCAAACTAGCAGGAAGAAAATTCCAAACTAACCTTCGAAAGTATATGTTTTACCAAAAAACATTGGTTGATGCTTGGAACAGACTTCCAGCAGAGATAGTAAGTCAACAGTAAGTAAATGTATATAAGCTTAAAAGAGAACTATGGGGTAAGTGTTTTTCCCCATAGTTCTCTTTCGGCTCATGGGAGGACATATACTAACCTCCTCTCGTGACCCAAAGCTCAGTATATCGTGGGCTATTGCCCGCGATATGCTAAGAGCTCCGCAGCCAGGACGGATCCCGACAATACTGTCTTGATCCACCCAGCTGCGTGAGTGACAGCTGGCTCTGCCTATCTAGAGGCAGAGCCAGCTGTGCCCGCCCCCTCCCCTGTTCCTCCACTCAGCTTTAGAGGATCGGAGAGGGGAGGGAGGAATCCCTGCGGGGAGTGGTGACTGACAGTTACCGCTCACTGCAGGGAGACGATCGTAAGTGAGCGGATCGGCTTCATGTTTCTGCTCACTTCCCGATCGATAGAGCCGACCTCTTACAGCTTCTTTGTCACAGGTTGGCTCTAACTATGAGGATGGGTGGAAATCACTCACCTCATAGTTCTCCTTTAAGATAAACAAAGATCTCTACTTAGACAAAAAGGTTGAACAAAACACAATAGTAATACATAAATAAAACACAATAAAACAACAACAAATAAAAATAGAGGCAGACTCCTACTTAGACTACTTGGCCTTTTCTGTTGTCACCCTGCTATAGTTCTATGAATTATTGAATATTTAGTGTTTTTGAATTCAGCCAATACATGGAGCTGATGTTTTGTTAAAATAATTTCTCAGTTTTCCTTTACTTATGTTAATGCTATTTTACAATATCAGTTTAAAAATAGAAAAAGTAAAAAAAAAAATAAAATCTATTTAATTAAAACTATTATAATTCCCCTTAAATGGTTTTAATGAATTAGCTGCATTGCATGTCTAGGAATTTAACAAATAATTGTATTGATACAGGCAGTAATATTTTTTTTTCTTATGTCCTGTTTGATTGCAGGTCTTAGAAGAAAGCATGAAACTGGAGTGTAAATGTCATGGTGTATCTGGATCCTGCACCACAAAAACATGCTGGACAACACTGCCAAAATTCCGAGAGGTGGGATTTATCCTGAGGGACAAATACAGTGAAGCTGTTCAAGTGGAGCCAGTGCGTGCCACCCGACATAAGCGGCCAATGTTTCTCAAGATTAAAAAGCCTTTGTCCTACCGCAAACCCATGGACACAGACTTGGTGTATATTGAAAAATCTCCAAATTATTGTGATGAAGACCCAGTGACTGGCAGTGTTGGGACACAAGGCCGCATGTGCAACAGAACAGCTCAACATGTTAGTGGCTGTGACTTAATGTGCTGTGGGAGAGGGTACAATACACACCAGTACTCCCGGGTGTGGCAATGTAACTGTAAATTCCACTGGTGCTGTTATGTGAAATGTAACACATGCAGTGAACGAACAGAAGTTTTCACCTGTAAATGAGAGAATGTCCTGAAACAGAATGCTTTTCAGCTTTGGGAACTTTTGCCGTACATTTGCACAGAATCTCAAGCCACGTACCACAAATTGAAGGCCTATTGCCCCTTTGCCTTTTAGGAACCCAAATGAACAGACCCTTGTTGTCTTTCATTTGAAAACTATTGAGATCACTCATTCATGGACAGCCTAACAATCTATTAGAGTCTTAGATAGAGAGAAATACTAGCACAGGGGCATAAAGCTAAGGATAGAAGGGGCTCTCCATATCTTAATTCATTCAGTTATGCATTCCAGAATGGAACCCACTTCAAACTGAGTGATGTTGTACAAGTAAGGGAGGCGTGTGTTATGTTTTACTTTCTTTCTCTGGATACACATGAATAATCAAATGGATCAGATATTCATTTGTGGTTCACACCTAATATGCAGTGGTTAGGGATACTGGAATATAGAACTTATTCTGGAAACAGATGGATATGACAACTTCAAACAGTTGCCTTTTTGAAAGTGAGATTAGGATGAGCTAACAATGACCATGTGTGATATTCCGCTTTGAGTGTGCACTATACAGATTAAGGTTGTAAACGCTCAGAATTTTGTTACCACCACTTCAAATTGGCTATAGTGGGGGTTTTTTTTGGCCTGACCAAACTTTTTCTCATATTTTTTGTTTATAAGGCGCTGTTATATATATAAATATATATATATATAAATTATTTTTGCTGGCACAGGGACTATAAATATTAGCATTGAATATTTAACAATATATTTTAGATTAAACTAATATTAATTTATTTAATAGGTAAACCTACTGCCATTTGCAACTCTTCTGCGCAAAAAAAGGATATACTAATTAGGGAACTAAAATGCTCTCTTGGGAAACTGGAGATGTAAATAGTATATATAACCCAAATCCCACTTATAGCTGTGTAAAAGGGATAATCATATTACCTTTACGTGGTGAAAGCAGACATCTTACTTTAATACTTAAATGCTGTTTGCTGCTAGCTGTCTGGAAACTCATTTATCAATATTTAATTGTCTGGTTATGTTTATCTGAATTTTTTCTAAATTAAGTCATTTGGATTCCATTTGTTGGAACGCTCCAGACAAATTTTTCAACCTTATGGAAAGCAGGACCATATGGAACAAAGAGTATATTTTGTAAGAGACTATTTTTATATGAATATTTTATTTATATTATGTCTGCTTGTATAATCATCAGTTTCTCAATAAAAAACACCTTATATCTAATTTCTGGTGTTTAAAAAATTAAGTTCACATTTAGTCCATAATATACAACCTCACAAAACATTTTGTTTTCTTTTCATATATTTTATATAACTCAAAATCATCTCTCATGATATACATTTATTTCCCCCTTTAACTTTGGATTAACAATTAATAGATGGCGTGTGTGTTTCTGGCTAGGCCCATTGGCAAAATACACACAATAGACAAAGGTAATTTAACATTCATTTGATCACATGGCTTAAATTTGTGATTAGCGTTAAATTTTTGCTCGCTGATCCCATTCGGAAGAGGAAAAAGAAAAATCCGAATTTGCTTCCCACATGCATCAGTCATTAAACTCTAGGTTTTCTGTTAGCAAATGTGCTGCGTATGCTGCCTATTAAATCTCTATATTGTGTTACTGTCAAATTTGATTTTATCAGTGACAGACTATAGACTATGACTGTACAAACTAACTTGACATATTCTGTCTGATTCTCACAGATAGCATACAAGGCTTACAGGTTTTTTCAGCCAACTGCTTTGAGCATTTGCCCACTTTGTGCCTTAAAAAAATAATATGCAATGTTAAATCATTTTATCATAATAACAATGAACTACAAAAAAAATCTCCTCCATACATGAAATCAACAATTAAAACAATATTTTTTAATACTTAGGCCGTTTTATTTTTGATTTCACAAACAGTGTTAGACCAGTGTACATCAATGTATAAGATGTCAGAATAGAGTTTAGATTAGATTAATTTATTGTCAGACTACTGAACTGGTAAAAAATGAAATGCAAATATTTTTATAAAGTGTTTTTTTCTTTTTATTAACTACTGAAATATAATGCACAATGCTAATAGTTCTGGTAAGAGGGTATAGAATGGGTGTTTCTTTGGACTAAATGGCTTCTCTATAATTGACTGTGGATTTCATTCTTTTTCTGGAAAAAGCATCAATCCCTATTTATCTGGTAGTCAGGAATATGTCTGGGGTCTTGAACAAAAAAAAAAAAATCAAAGGTCTAATTGTGCAAGTTGGTTTAATTATAAAGGACTTGTGTAAGGTGGCTTCTTCCAGACTTTGCTGGGTTTTCTTTTCATTCATCAGTTAATTTACAGCGTGGACTCATATCAGTTCCTCCATTTTAGTTACAATAAAAACATGGATCTCAAGCTGTGGTTTTGTGTTTCTATTGATTGTTGATCAGAATTTACTTCTTAATGTGTCAGTCCCTCAAAAGTGTTGGGCTAATTTAGCTATTGGTGTCTTACTGTATATTTCTTGGATATCTGTAGTAGTCTCTGCTACTTCCCACAAAGGAGTTTCACACCTCCTTCTGTAAATTTTATAAAAATCCAACAGGAAGAATGAGACCCCTTTATGAAGGCTGCTGTAGGTGGGAGGAGCTGGGAACTGAAATATAGAGAACTCATTCACTGTAAACATTGACTTCTACTAGAAGGAGGCAGTATCACCATTTTCTTCAGAAGTGTTTCACAACTGCATGTACATTTTATATTATTATGGTATACTTCAGTTAAAATTGAACATAAAGCCTTAAAGTGTTTTTCCACTTTTGCATTTAAATTTGAGAAAACCTGTAAGAGACTTACCTGCAAACTGGTCCCTACTTAAAGGAGAACTTTGGGGTCAGGGCTTTTCCCCATAGTTCTCCTTATGGTAATGGGAGGACACAAACTAGCATCCTCCCGTCACCTTAAGCTCAGTATACCCCGAGCCACAGCTCGCGGTATACTGAGAACCTGGAGCGGATCCCGACATCGATGTCGAGATCCGCCCAGCTGCGTGAGTGACAGCTGGCTCTGTCTAGAGGCAGAGCCAGATGTACCCGCCCCCTCCCCCGTCCGTTCCGCCAGTCAGCGCTGGTGGATCGGAGCGGTGAGGGGGCAATCCAGCCCCTCCCCTGTCACGGCAGAGAGCCGTGACAGGATCGAGAAGTGAGCGAAAACCGGTATGTGTTCGCTCACCCCCCGATCTACTGAGCCGACCTGCGACAGTCTCATTGTCACAGGTCAGCTAGAACTATGAGGTGAGTGAAAAGCACTCACCTCATAGTTCTCCTTTAAAGACATGCATGCAGTCCTATGCTAAAAGTTCCAGGCAAACACTATTAGACATGCACGCATGGAAACATACACACGCAATAGCGTACGTGTTCACTGATCAAGTTGCTGAGTGGTCGTCAGCTTGTTCCTGTGTTTTGTTCCTAATCTCCTGTGATTGAACACGGATTGTGGCCATTGACTCCACATCCTCCTTCCAATTTGGTACCTTGACTCTCTACTCTCTTGGGTATTATCCTGGCTTATGATTCCTGACATTGCTCCTGATCTGTGATTTGGCACTTCAAGATTCTGCTTCCCTGGCATGACCCCGGCTTCATAACTGACTTTGCTCCTGGCCTACCACATGGTTCCTCATCCCAACAGTACTCTGAGCCACCTCATCCAGCCAGTGCTTCTCCGGCTCCACACCTGTTAACTGTTCCAGTTCTAAGAGATCTTGGTGTCATCCTGGTCCTGCAGACACACCAGCCGGTCCAACAGACTCAAGTGCCTCTACGAAACCTGGCCAGCTACCAGTAACGGCGCCTGTGCCTCTCCCCATCCTTACATCCCCTGTCACCACCTCCAGAGGAGGGGGACAAGAGGTGCAGAGGATGCCCCGTTCCCAGTTTGATCTCCATTCAGGTACATGATAAAGCCCCTCTATATGTTTGTTATTTGTTCCCATTCACGCAGCCTACCAAAAAATATATATTTTAGATGATTTTTTGTTGTAGCAGGCAACACGGTTGATTCCAGGTTTTTCTGAGGACTTCACAGTGATCTGTCCTTATAGAAAGACTTAGGACTGACATTTGGGGATTGTGTTTTCTCACTAACTTCATTAACATTTGAATGCAGAAGCCAAGGTTGTAATCCTTTAACCCCTCACCCCTCAACATTACAAATAAGGAGATGCAAGTAGAATTTTACCCCTTGAGAAGCAAAGAAACCCTAATGCAAGAAAAAACTCTGTAAAATGAAAGAAGCATTTTTCATTTTGTTTTAGCTCATGCTATGTGAATGGGAACATGTAACACATATAAAATAGGTGCTATCCTAATTTGGCTGTAAAAGTGGAAATACACTTTAAGATGCATACAGGGAACACAGTCCATGTGGTGAGGGCTTCAGCTTTTTAGGGAGGCATTGCTATAGTGAGCTAGTCCATTCCCTAGCCTTTAGTCAGTAATATGATGATCGGAAAATCTATTATGCTAAAAGCACAAATCTAGCCTCCTTCCGAAGGACACCCCCACATTTTTTATTTAAAAAAATTTATACTTTCACATATAGTAGATAATTTTTCAGACGTCTACAGGTTAGTCATGTGACATGCAGGGTACTTTTCCTCTTCACTTTCTCTCTGGCCCTGGGTGCCCCTTGACAATGAAGAAAGATTAGATGACGTGATGATGTAATGCAACAATGTATTGTTAGTGCAGGACGACAATGGTGGCATTCACCCCACGGGGCAGGCCCATGATGGCCTTCATCTACAGGAAGTGGGTTGAATGACATTTGGCATTATTCAACCCAGAAGAGGAGAAGAGAACCGTAGGAGGTGGGTACTGCAGCCAGAGCTGCTTTTTATTTTTACAACAGGTAGGTTATCTATTTAAAAAATCCTGAAATTGGGCTTTAACGGTTTTTAATGTAAGAGAGTTTTACCAAATACATACTTTGTGGTCTTCTTGCCGATTTTACATACTGAAAGCCTTATGTACCAAAGTCAACACTAAGACGTTTTTGTACAGAACTAGATAACCTGTAGCTGCAAGGCTCTGTAGAACTACAAATCTTGCCATTCAACTGTCACCACTTTGTAAACCTATAAACCAGGGGTAGCCAAACTTCGGCCCTCCAGCTGTGGTGAAAGTACAAATGCCATCATGCATTTGCCTCTGGAAGTCATGCCTTTGACTCTCAGATTCTTGCAATGCCTTGTGGGAATTTGTAGTTCCACAACAGCTGAATGGCCAAAGTTTGGACACCTATGCTAGCTATAAACCATCCACTTCACAGCAGCATAATGTTCCTGTCACTGTTACCCAATGATATTTTATACATATGTAAATGCAGTGCATTTTACACATATAGACATCCAGTGCCGCACAGCAGCAAAATGTCCTTGTCACTGCTGTCTCTCTCTCTCTCTCTCCCCCAGTGTTTAGTGGCAAAGTGTCCCTATCATTGCTGTCTGCCTTTATTCAGTTTACTTATGTTCCATGCACTGCTCCAACACTACAGTATCTATAAATATGCAGTA